TCAGGTGTGGACTTTTAAAAATTTATCTTAGATAGAGTGTGCCATGCTTCCTGGAGCCACAGATCCGTGTCTTTAATTAAAGTTCCAGAAAGTTTTCAGCCATTCTCTCTATGAATATTGACTTTCATCATTCTCACAATTCTCCTTCTCTGCATCTTCTGTTAGATGTGTTTGGATGTTTTCATGCTCTCCAAATATCCTTCTCTTTGGTACATTCCATCTCTTGATCTTTGCCTTGCCTGTTGTATAACTTTCACGTTTGCTTTTCAGTTCACTGATTTCTGATCAGTTGTATCTAATCAGGTGAAATCTAGCCACTGAGTTTTTAATTTCAGCTACATACTAGATTTTTTATTTCTCAAAAAATTTATTGGGCTGTTTCCTTTTGAAAATATATTATTTTCATGTGTTGTTCAGATTCTTCTTTTCTGACATTAGTCATGTCAGATGTTTTAATTTTGTAGTCTAGAAGATTGTCTGATTTTCTGAAGTTCTTACACTATTGCTTATTTGTGTCTGTGGGTCTTAACCATAATGAATGATTTCCTCAGGCACTTTAAGGGTTTTGATGGTGAACTTATCCTTTGTGAAAATCCTGTATGGCTGAGTTTATTACCCTGGAGGATTTTACTGGCTGGAACAATTTTCATGTTCTCTTGTTAAATTGGGTTTTCCTGAATCATGCTGATACTGGGAATTTGAACCCCAAATCTGAGTGAAATATGGTTATGTATTCACAGCAAGGATTTTTTTTCCTGATGATTCCCAGTATATTAAGTAACACATATCCTTTCTTGTCATGTTTCTATTAACACATGGATATTTGTGTTGTTTAATCTTTACTGATCTTTAAGGATCCCCACCTGCATTCAGAGTCGTCATACCTCTTACTTTCTTGAGACCAACACTCTGCCTCTTGTCTTAGCAGGAACATTAGAACGGAAGCCTCAACAGTCCTGATGTGGGCTGGGGAGGTGTGTGGTAGTAGAGTGCTTACCTAGCATGTGTAAGGTCCTGTGTTCAATCCCCAGCACTGCTTCAAGAAGAAGAAGAGGAAGAAAAAGCTCACAGCATCACCTCTGGGGAGCCATGAAGTTAGCCCGCACTGGTTTTCAATATTCTCTATCTCTATCTTCTGGAATTTCCTTTATATTCCCTCAAGCTGTATTGAAAGTTATATTTATCCTATTTTATCTTGAAGTTTAATCAGGATAAAAATCAAAAGGTTTGATTTTTTTTGAAACTTTTCATTAAAAAATGGAAGTCCCCCACTTTTTGGTTGAACTCTAGGTGACACAATTTTTTCCCTGTAGAATGCAACTGGAGTTTAAAGAACCACTTATCTGTTCTCCCCAGCAACATGAAAGCCTGGCTTCAGCTGCAGTCTTTCTTCTTCTTGAAGCAGTGCTGGGGATTGAATACAGGACCTTACCCGTGCTAGGTAAGCCCTCTACTACTCTCTTGGGATGAAGGGAGGGCCTTCCCACGGATCAGAGCACACACTCGCCATGGTGTTGAACACGGTGGTGGCTTTGGATGAAGGTCAACAGGCACAGCTCAGGACATAGTGTCCATGAACTCTACAAGGTGCTGCCCAGTCACCGAGAAGAAGGAAATAGCCATGGCAGACGGACTGATCTGAGCCCAGTGCTTTCAAATGAACCCTATCCTTCTGCAGACAAAAGCCCTGTGAGGAAATGGTACAGATCCCAGACCTTGGAAAGGCAAGCTAACAAACTCTTACCTGGTGTAGGATATTGGCCAAGAGATGCAGGTATGAGGCACTCATCTCAGAAACTGCCAGAAAAAAAAAAATCACACATAACTGACTGTTAACATTGTTTACTATTTTGAATTAGTTACCATCCATACTTCCTGTATTCTAGAGAAATGCTAGTGAAGCAGTAAACTGTTAAAAGGTTAAGATGAAAGACAGTGTTATGAATAGTTTTAGGATGAAAATTTAGTTCTCCAGGCCTCTTCATAAGTATGCCTCATCAATTCCAAAAAGAGAGAAGTATTTTTATTTATTCCATTACAGAAGGAATAGAATTTGAATCAGATCAAATTTTGGGGGGGGGGAAAGTGATGTTCATTTAGGCATGATGGTGCATGCCTACCATCCCAGGAGCCTGGAAGGCTGAGGCAGGAGGATCATGAGGTCAAGGTCAGCCTCAGCAACTTAGTATGGTCCTGTCTTTAAATAAAATATTTAAAAAAAAGAGCTGGGGATTTGGCTCAAAAAAAGTAATGTTCAGAAAGAGCACCAGCAAACTTTCCATAGCTCATTGGCTTGGGGCCAGATCTCTTCACATAATTTAAATATTAAAGAGGCTCAGCACCACCCAGAAATGTGTGCTGGTGCCCCAGGGAGTAGCTCTCTCCTTATTTGTCTGAAATCAATGCACACAACTAAATGGAGTTTTCTGGCCTCAGTTATTTATGGCAAAATTACTACCCTTCAAAGTCTATGTTTCCTTTCCTGACTTCCTTTCCCAGACTTCCTGTCAATTCCGGATGGCCACATGACCAAGTGTTCACGAATGGGAATGTGAACAGAGGTATGTGGGTGCCCCTTCCAGGTCTGGTCTTTTCATACATGCTCCGACATGCTTTTGTCCTCTTCTGGGTGATGGAGGTGTCAACCCCCAGGCAACCTCAGAAGGCACATGTGAAAGATAGCAGAGCTGCCATCAGCCATATGACCCAGCCATCATATAGGCTCCCATATAAGGAGTAAAGCCACTTACCCCAATGTCAGTGGACTGTCACAGTTCTGTGGTGTTGAGCCATTGCCTGTTTGTTGTCATAACTTATCCTCTCTGAACGAATGCAGAATATTTGAGGACACCAAGGATATTAGCAGTCCCATGAGAACCCTGTGTGTATGACCTGGATGTAGTTATTTTTCCTAGTGCAATTTATGATAGGAACTCTGCAGTGTTCCTGGTCATCACCCAGGACCTGGGATCTGTACTGTCACTGTCCTCTGTGACAGTCTCATATCCAACCAGCATTTGTCTAAATGTGTTTAGTGACTTTGGATATCTGATTATTTAAATCCCTGGACATCTGAAACTGGGCTGTGTATTCCTATGCCACACCTTCCTGGAGCATTGGATTTGAGCTGGAGATTTCAGGAGAAGAAAGAACATTATTTTCATAATAAAATAAACTTTAGTGGGCAGAATGCGAAATTGGATGAATTTCAAAGACCAAACCCAAAACTTCAAAGAGATTTAAAACTTGCCTTTGCAGCTCTGGATCAAGCCCTCAGACCTCCCTTGGGGTGCATATTCACTGTGCTTTGGGTTGTCAGCGATATACTTTGTTTATTGTTATTGTAAGACATTTTTTTAGGTTTGAATCCAACAACCAAATGTTTTCTTCCAGTACAATGCAGACACCTAATTCCAGGGATGTTAAATATTGTTAGAACACCAGATTATTTGCTGCTGGCCTCCCTTTTCTTCTCATATTGTCCCCTCATCCCTCCCTTCCCCCCCCAATAAAAAAGAAGAGAATGAGGAAATTTACTACATAAGAATATCAGCTAGGTGGGAGATTTTAACTATAAGTCTCCCAAGCATGGGGCAGAGCCAGGATCCCTTTCAACCTCTGGTCTCAGAGGATCCCTCCCCTCTACAAATAGCTCTCTGAGCTCCCTGTGCCCTCATTGCTCATGAGGGTGGAATCATCACCCAGGTCTATTATACCCCATTGCATTTATTCACCCTCCACCCAAGCAAGTCTTGCATTTGCAAGGTGAAATCGTGTATTATTTGACCCTCTTAGAATGACCGGCTTCTGCCTTGAACAAGCCTGTGTTTAACAGCCGTGCTGGACATTTCTTTCTTTCACTTCTCCTTTTCTCCAAAAGATGGAACAGCCTGAGAGGGCAAGGACTCAGAGACAATGGAGCTGGTGGGGTCAGTCGGCCTGTAGTGCCCAGCCAGGACCCCTGAGAGCAAAGAGCAGCAATATTTACAAATGAGAATCTCTTGACTTGAAAAATGTCTGCAAAGTGAACAGAGGGTCTGTTTCTACCTCATCTCAATGACATCAGTTTTCTCCCTAAAAGCAACACTTTCTCTAGCTTTTCGTTTATTGTTCTATAGTTTATGCAAGCAAAGGTATATCTGTTGGCATTATATATTTATCTGTTTGTATTTCAAACGTGGGCCAAAGTGTGCATCTTTTAGTTGCTATATGTTTGGCTGCAAGTAACAGAAAAATCCCTATTTTAAAAGCCGGTTTTATTTTATGTAATAATAAGTTCAAAGACAGGTAGTTCCAGGAGGTTCCCAGGGGTTCCAGGGAGGTGTTCAAGTACATTGTGCCTCTTAAAGTCATCTTGAAAGCTGGATACACTTCCTTTGGCTCTGGGACACAGCCCTCTGGGTGTGCAAAATGTTCCCTGTGCCACTTCATTTCCTGAGTGGAGGCAGGGCCTTGCCTGGGGCTGCCAGAGGACTGTGTGTCCCGAATGTGAATCACAGCCAATATCAGAGGAGCCAGGACCAGATTTTCAGCATCAGTCAGCTGGGTGGGTTCTTTCTTAGTTAAGTCTCACGTTTGGGGGAAGTGAGTTCTTTCTGGGTCATCAATCTCCAGGAGGATGAGGATTCTGTTCCAGGCTAGCAGGAATCCTTTGTGCAGAGGCTGTGGATCCCCATAATCTTTTCCCTACTGCTACATGGGACATGGGACTGGGTATTTTTATACCTTCACCTTCAGTGTTCCCTATTTGGCTTCCGAAGACTCCAGGCTGAGCCAAGACCAAGGTGGGACCCACCACTGGCCCAACACCTGTTCCCATTGTCTCAAACATATGACTGATGGATGTGCTCCTGGGGAGGGGGGTGGGAGTGGCCCAGCCTGGAGAGTGCAGCTGTCATCTTAGTGGGGAGCTGTGACCAGGGTTGCCCTTTGGTGCATCCTGCCTCTCTTCAATCTTCACTGCTTTTGGTAATACTGCCTCATGTCAGAAACCTAGGTGACCGTTGATTCCGGAATTTGTTTCTGTTCTTTATTCTCCTTCTTTTTGAGCAATTCCCCAAAGGAGAGGGGGGAGTGGCCAATTTGTTCCAACCGTATAAGACTGATAGGACCTCCTTCTTGCTGCGCTGTCACTCCAGTTCCGCTTCCCCAAACATGACTTAAGTGCCAACCCACACCACGGATGATAGGCTCCTGGAGATGTTGTTAGTCCATCACTGGTTGTCCAATATGCAGTAAATTAGCATTTACTTGTTTAAACAAGAAAAAGCCAGCAGGCTTGTTCAGGGCAAAAGCCAGTCATTCTAAGAGGGTCAAATAATACTCTTCAGGGTGAGCCCTGGAGATCCTGTCCCCACAGTGGGGCCCAAAGTCAGGAGGCTAATGTGCAGCACCATCACCAGCATCATCAGAAGGAACAAGAGCTGTCTCTCCCGTGATGTTTAACAACAGGGGCAATTTGAATGCTGCTTCAATTCTGGCCTGTGTCTTATCAACCTGAGAAATTACTAAACCAGGTAAGGTATGGTCTAAGGGTTGCTTGGGATCTGGGGAGTTGCTTTTAGGATGGCCTGGCTATGTTTCTGTAATAAAACTATGTTACTATTTTCTTCTGGGAGCAAATTGATAATTTCCATACACAACAAAACCATTCACCTCTACCAGAAGAGCTGCTCCAACCTTATCATTCATTCTTGTTGGTTTTGGTTCTGCTGAAAACAAGGGCATTTTAAATGAACACTGCTCTAGGAAGGTGTGCATGTATTGAAAATGTAGCACTTCTCTGGTTTACTATGCTCCTGTCACTTGGATGCTCAAGCAAGATGGAGGTGGAATCAGCCTAAGGGCTAGTTATCAATGATAACATGAACTTGGAATGATACATCAAGAGATGTCCCATTGCTATTAGAGGTACACATGTCTCCTGCCATAATGTGACGCAGCCAAGGGGAACACTTGTCAAACCCTATACCATGTTGTTTGGATTTCCAGCTTTTAAAAACTGTGAACTAAATATACCTTATTCCCTTTTAAAGTAGAAGTAAAATTTTAAAATTCTATTTTTAAATATGAGGCTAGCGTACTAATAGGACCATGTACATGAAGACAGGTAGCCCAGGTTCAGTGTGAGCCTTGACTTTTATTAGCATGTGACTTTATTTTTCTCATGTATAAAATTAGGATCATAATCTTTTTGAGTTTTACATAAGAAATCTTAGGTAAAGTGGAAAAATAAATGTTAGTTATTTAAATGAAAAATTATGGGGAGGTGGGTATGAGAACTTGCTACCACTTGCAAAAAAATTACACACACACACACACACACACACACACACACACACACACTAATAAAACACTTGGGGGCAGGAAGCAAGATTTCCATAAGAAATACAAACATTACTGGGTTATAAAAATAGGTATGTGACCTATGAAGACCAGCATAAATCTGAAGATATTTTATTATTACCATTGTCACAACACCAGCCTGAGTTAGATTTTCATTCTAAAAGAGGTTCATTTGTTCATTCATTCATTCATTCATTCATTCATTCATTTATTGCTCAGATATTTCTGGGACACTTGTTCTATGCCAAGCCTCAGTAAGACAGTGAGAAGTGACCTGTACAGACGTGGTACTTGTCATGCCACTTGTATAGAACATACAGGATTTCTTGGCAGAAGCCCAGTTCCAAGGCCTTCTCAGAAGCAATGGTTTCCTTAAATTGGAAGTACCCAGAAGTCAAAGCCAGGGAGGGGACCTTGAGCAGGCAGATGTCCAAGTGCCCCAGGCAGAGGGCACAGCCTATGCAAAGGCTTGGTGACGGGAGAGAACATGGTGCAGAGGAAGAACTTTAGAGACCTGTGTCAGTCAGATCCCTACAGGAGGGCGGGGGGGGGGGGAACAACAGAAAGCAGAATGCTTGAGCTTTATTGGTTAAAGCAGAGCACAAATTCTCTTTGGAGGGGAAGATAAATACTTCAGGCCATGTTGTCTGGGATCCCTCCCATGTGAAAGGCACAAAGTCTGAAGCAAGTTCCCTGAGAGGCTCCCAGAGGGAGCGCCAGTCCCCCAAGTACCAGCAGCGCTGACGGGGACCTTCATTGGCCCAGGTGAGAGGGAGGCAGGAGGAGAGGGCTTGTGATGCTCTGCTTCCGCACCTGTGGGCACAGAGCCTTATGGGGACTGACAGTGCCAGGCTCGGGCATCAGCACTGTGTCCACCATGCTAGCCTGCCCCAGGGCAGCCCTTAAATGCTGTGGTTACAAAAGTCTTACACGAGCAGAGGGACTTCTCTTAGAGTCTTCACGAATTTTTGTGACATCCACGGGTGCCAAAGGGCAGGATCTGTTCTTCAACATTTGTTCTCTCAGGGATCCAGAATCCAACCGGGCAGTCATCCAGTGGTTCTTTGACCTCATTCCACATGACTTTAGAATTTTGAGGTTCTTTCCCTCTGAAAAATCAAACTGCTTTATTGACTTCATGTAGCAGCCTCATCAGGGATCAAAGAAGTGACACTCATGCATATGACACATGGGGAAACAGAGGCCAGGACAGGCAAAGCCGCAGCAAGCCATGGATTTGAAATCAGCTACCCCAGGGTTTGAACTCCTACTTTGCTATTTTCTTGCAGCACTTCGTGTTGGGCAACTTGCTTTCCCTGAACCTCAGTTTCTTCATGTGTCAAATGGAATAATAATGATCTATGGTAGAATTGTCAGAGAGATTATGGGTAAACATAGATCAAGAGTGCATCAGAGTTCCTATTTCTCTCAGGTGTTCAGGGCAGATTACACTTTATAAAATATATGCAGATATGATGCCCTTAGTGGCGAAGGTATGTAACACTACATTGTTCTTTGCTGTGGTTTATACACCATGAAATGATAAAACGGCAGCTTTATTGACTGGTTTGGCCAACTGAAAGTTACTTTCCAGAAACTTGCTGTTCTTATACTGAATTTTGGGTTCAGGTCTGGCGGTCTGCGGCATAATATCTCTGCCAAAGTCATATTCTCAGTACAAAAAGAAGCACAGAATCTTTCAGGCTGTATTGTCTGTATATATTTAGTCTCCATCAGGCATATGGAACCTTTGTGGATCTGGGGATTTGTTGATTATACAAAAACAACCACCTTCTCCCTCAACTCAATGACATTTATAATCTGACTTTTGAAGGAAATGAATTTATGAGAGATCACAATGGATATTTTGAACAGGATTCATGGGGGGAAAGGAAGTAGCAGGGTGCTCTAGCCAGGTGTTCTGCCTCAGGCCTGTTCTCTCATGGGCTGCAAAACCAGCATCAACATGCCCCCGGCCCCTTCTTTGCACCGTTGAGCACAGAGATACCTGTATAGGGACGCCTAGCCAAAAGGTGAATGCCAGCATCTTTATATATTTTAAAGCCTTTAGCTTTGATCACACCTTTGCAAAACAGGCGAAATTGTTTTTATGTATAAATAAGTTAAAAAGAGTCCATCCTGCTGAGAACTTGAAAAAGATGTAATTCTGGTTCATGCTCTGAAACCATGATTCTTTGCATCCAGTGAGGAAACTCTATGGCTCACATATTTTTCCCCCCCAAATTCTCAGAAACATAAGAGGGTCTTAGGGGAGAGACGGGTTGGAAAGTCCTAAGTGACACCAGGAAAAATTGCCACTCAGTATTTCTTTTTAGTGCTGTAGAGGAAGGAGAGGGAGCAGAGGTCTTGGAGGTAATCTTGGATTGGGGGATGGGAGAGGCAGAGACAAGTTCAAAGAATCAAAACATACTGAGAAGACACAGAAAGTCTTTTGTTAGCAATGGCTTCTCCCAGAAGTTGGGAAACAGAGCTGTCATGTACAAAGTCATGCTAGGCTTCCAGCTCAGAGCCCACATTTCTTCCTTCAGCCACACATTCCTTTTCCTCCCCTGCTTTTGCTGCTGTCTCCCCCTAATTGTGCAACTGACATGTGCATTCTTTCCCCATTCAAAGGCAAGGCCCACTCCTTTCCCTCCCTGTACTTTGTTTTGGAAAGAGACCCTCTCATCCTGCAAGCCTTGCCTCCCAGGATCACTTGGCAGTCCTGCAAAAGCATTCCTTGCTCTGGTAGTGATTGCCTGTGAGGACATGGACTGGGTTTGCCCTGTTAAGGACACACACACACAGTCACAGAGTAATCCTTGACAGCCACAGGGCGTATTCCTCCCCAGCTGTGGGGGAAGTTACTATTCTTATCTCAGAGTTCAGATCAATCATTTATCTTTTTTGCAGCACCTTAACTCAATTTTTTCCCCTAAGTGTTATCATTAATCCTTCCAACTTCTTATTTTGATAATTTCCTAACATTCAAAAACAAAGAGTCAGAAAATGAAACTTGTATTCTTGGCCTAGATTCACCAGTTTTGCCTCATTTGCTTGTAGTTTCTCCTCTGTGGTCTTATAGGATGTCTGTCCATCTGTCTGTCTTTCTCTCTCCTTCCCTTACACTCCCTCCCCTTCCCTGCATCCTTCTTTCACTCTCTCTCTCTCTCTCTCTCTCTATATATATATATTATATATATATATATATCCACTTTTTTAATGGACCATTTGAAAATAGAAAATTGTTATTACCATAGATCCCTCTAGATGCTTGAGCATGAATCTTCTCAGAATTAAGATATCATCCTGTATCACTATAATATCATGACCATACCTAATGAAATTGATGACTTTATTATATCATCTCATACCTAATGAACATTCCTTTGTTCACCTCAGGAACTTAATGATCAAGCATTGCAGATCACTGTTAGAACTTTTTTAAAGAAGAGCTCACCTTCTGTGTGTTTCATGGAATTGTCTTTTTTTTTTTTTGAAGAGTTCATTTGATTGTTTTGTACAATATTCTACCTTCTGGATTATCTGTTTCTTTATACTTTGTTCCTGGTGGCTCCTGTTTTTTTAAATCCCCCAACCTTGCAACTCAGAATAAAGTCTAAATGCATAATCAGATTCATCTTAAAGAAATTTTGGTAAGAAAATTGCAGAGGTGATGTTGAGGGCTTGTTCTTCATGTTAAGAGACATATGATGTTAGGGTGTGATGCAAGTGTGTGATGCACGTTTGTTTTTTTGCTACAGTTGTAACTATAATATCCTATAGACATATAAACATATGGGGCTTTGATTGGTTGTTTTTTTCCTTTTGTTTGCTATTGATTAATAATTCTCTGGGGGAAGATTTTGATATTGTGTGAATACCTGTCACTAACAATATGTTGCCCAAATTAAAGAATCCATGAGGACCCCTGCCCGAATTAAGTGTTATATTGGGGGCTGCAAAATAATGTTTTTAAAATTCTATAATCTTTGCTATGTGTATTAGCTCTTATTCTTTAAATGACAGTTTGTTTCTCTCCTCCCCT